TAGATTTGAATGACAAAAGCGACACACAGCTGCTATTTTTTATTCTGATGAGGTTTGTGAAACAAGCAGAGCCAAGAGAGAAGGAGCCCCATTCTCAACACCACTGCTAATGAAGGCTTATTTGTTCTCTTCTGTATGGAAATCCACTGAGATGTCTCTGGAGGTAGGAAAACCTTAACTATTTTCCCTAGTTAACTCTGGGATTTTGTTAGGTTTTACAGTCAGACAAAAAATAAAGTGCATATCCGAATTTACAACTCTTTCAAGCTACACTGTGTCTCTCAGCAGTCATTCCATGTCTGTCTGCTACTTGGTTCTCAGGTCACAGTGTCATGTATCACCAAAAATCTTGATATGGGGAGGGCAGATACCTGCTGTGACCCCTGCATTTTCACCAATTTATTCTGTCACACTCATCCTGCCCTTCTATATGGAGGCTCTTTATTTTGAGATACTTGGGGGTACAAATCTCATTAGCACTATCAGTATATTTCTGCACAATAAGTCTACCAACTTGTAAAGAAAAACAAAGGGAGGAACACTGCTGGAATTTTGGTTGCCAGAATAATTTTTCAGGCTTGCCAATGGGGAGAAGATATGGAAGCCTTCAAAATTAATATGAAACTCTGTAATGTATTTTCTACCAAAAAAAATTCCTTTTGACAGATGTGAGCTTTCAGGCTTGTTTTTCTGTACTCTGCATATTTAAAAATTAATATTAATATGAACACTTAATGCAACTTTGATCTTTCTTAGTAATGCTCCCTATAAAAGGGATTTAGTCCCAAAGTACCTTATTCACCACATGGCTTAAGGGAATTAAGAGCCATCCAGGTTCAGAGCCATCCAGGTGTTAGCTAATACAACAGAGAGATGCCTTGACTGTCTTTATGGATCTAACTCAATGATAATTTATTGATACAGATACGATGTACGTAATTTGCACTTGATATAGTAATAAGGTAATCTACTTTTTTAAAAAGTCTGAATTTTATTTTTTTTATATAAAGTAATTAATGGGGTTTTTTGAATACTGTTTTGATATAACAGAAGTTTTCTTAGTTTTCAGGCATTCCAGTCCTTTTCTAAGTTTCTGTTTAAAAAATAATTGAAGTTTCTTTTTTATACCAGCAGATAGATATGCTATATAACTATTCAAGAAAAATAGTCAGAAATATTTAATTAGCTGAAGCTACTGGAGGAATTGGAGGTAAGCAGAATGTAATGACCCAAAGTAGAACTTACTCTCAAAATTATGATTAATTTCTGCAGAGGACAGAGAGAATTTTAGAGGCAATAAATCAATGGAATCTGAACTTTACATCATATTTGAGATATTTTTTTCCAGCAAATTAAGAGACCATTTTTTTCAATGGGGATGTGTGCATACAGATGTGTGCACATGTGTGCACAAAGGAAGAAGAGAGGGGTATTCTTGCCTACTTCAGAATAAAGTGTCAGCATCTAAACAACAGGTGATACAACTTGTGATTTTTCCTGGAATATCACTGATTTTTTAAATTAGTGCGATTTTCTTTTCTTAATTATAACAAAAAATTTTTGAAACAAAAATGCCACATGGAAATATTCCTATGAGTAGTTTTCAAGAAAATGCAATCCTCATTCATCTCACCTTCTACCTACTGAATTTTTCTCTTACAATGACATCAGTTTCTATATTCATCCACACTCTAAAGAACAATATTATTTACTAATTTCTTAAAATATTTATTTTTTTATAAAAGTCAATAAACTCAAGATTCCTCTTTAAATCCTCTCTCATATGTATTATTGACACAAATGAAAAGATATTTGGTTGGACACAATCTGTCTCTCCCAAGATCCCCTACATTTACCCTTTCAGTTGAGTGAAAAACACAGCCTTCCATACTTTCTTAATTTAGGCAGCCACATGCCCCAAGTTTTCTGGTAGAAATCATCAGGAATATGCTGTGATTGAAATGGTATTTCAAGGAAAACCTTGTAGGGAGACTTGGGATTTTTGTGAACCGGTTAAACACATGAGAACCTGCAATGGACCTGGTAAATTTGGAGGTGTTTGTGGCTTTTGTTAGACAGCAGGACATCATTAGCTTAAATTTGGTTTGCTCTGCTTATGCATTTTAGGTTGAATGTCAGGAGAACTACATTAATTTAATCAAGCAAAACGGATTATATATATTCATTTAGACACTGGTTTCTGCCAAGGATTTTCAATGCTCTACTCCACACAATAAGAATGAGCTGCAATCAACATCTTAGGAGTAAACAAACCATAACCTTAAAAATTCCTTTCTTTACCTAGGACTGTGTCATAAATTTTCTATTTTGTGGTAGTGTTTCTTGTTTATACTAATGCAGTATTCAGAATAGACTTAATTTTGCATGTCAGCAAGCCTGCCATTATATTCTTACTGGAGCTTTTAATTTTTCAATACAGTAATTAGTACATTTGTATTCTAATTGATAATTTTCACTGTACTCTCATGAGCAATAAAGTTTCTCACGTTTCAAATATTTCAAAATCACTTGAGCTGTAAGATTTTTTTGAGGTAGCCAAATTCTACTCAGCTATGTACTGTCTACTGCAGGGCCCTGCAGGCATGTTGTGGTAAAGAGGTTATGATGCTCAGCTGCTAAATAATTAGAAGGTAAAAGCCAAATGGAAATTTACTTCAATTCAATTACACTTTATACCTATGTATTTATATCTAGAAAGTTGTCAGGTGCTGATTAACCAGGGCTGTTCAGAATTCTTTTGATGAGGCAGTCAGAATATGGGGAAGACCAAAAAAACAAATAGATTATTTTATGAAGAGAAGTAAAAAAGGGGGGGGGGGAAGGAATAAAAATTGCTAACATGATGGGTTTGGACATATATCTTTTGGAATTAATCAGCATTATTGCCAGCATTTTATTTAGATGATGAAAATGAAGTAATTTGATCTGTCAACAGTAACAAGATAAAACCAGAAAGTATTAAACTTTTTACAACAGGACCATACATGGGCACACTGTATAAGCTTCAGCTTGTTAATAGCCTGGGTTTTTTGTACCTATAATAAAGACAGACATATAATTCATCTCTGATGAAGCTTCAAAATCTCCTTAATCAGTAAAAGCCACCTGGATAAAGCAATTTAGACAGCTGTATAGAACCAACTCATGTTGTCAGCATTATTGTTCCCCAGAACTAAGAAACTGGAATATTATAACCAAAAACCACATATAGCCGCAAAGAAATGACACAGTTATCTTAACGATTAGTTTAAATAAAATCAAAAAAGCATAAATGGATAGGCAGCTATTCATATCACTATGGAAGTAGTCAGGCATAATATCAGATGGGGGGTTTGTCTAAATGTGATGTAAAGGATCACTTTTACACAATTCTTGCCCCACAATGCTACAAGAATACCTTTCATATTTCTTTCATTTGCTGTTGGGGAAAGCCTTGAAGGCTTCAGCAAAGCTCAGAGAGGGAAACGCTAAATATCTTTCCGGTAACTGAACACAAGTAACAAAATTGATGAAGTAGAGCTATGAAAGAAGAGCAAATAGATATATAGTTAATTCAGGTGAGTTTAGAACTACTGATTACCTACAGCAGAAAATGTCTGGGTTTTTTTTTCCTCCACAGATTTAGGATATAAGTAATTTTCCACTAAAATTAATGAAAATTCTCATCAAATTCAATGAAACAGGATCAATCCTATAATTCTGTCTAACTCTAATGGCAGT